TATGAACATCGATGTAGCAGTGTCCCTGTAGCATGCTCTTGTTAGGGCTTTAGGGAATAGACCGAGAAGGGGAATAGCTGGGTCAAATGGTGGTTCCATTCCCAGCTTTCCGAGAAATCTCCATACTGCTTTCCAAATTGGCTGCATATGATAGTTTTTTAAAAACTTATTTAGTTGTAGATGGACACAATACCTTTATTTATTTATTTTTATGTGGTGCTGAGGATCATGCCCAGTGCCTCAATGTGCTAGGCAAGTGCTCTAACACTGAGCCACAACCCCAGACCCTATGTGAGCTTGGGTGCTTGTCACCTTCCCTGTGCATGCTGAAGGGCTTACACAATGACATTATCTTCCCCTACTGAGGAGTCAGTGTTGACTTCTGCCTGGTGCCTACGATTGCACCAACCTGGGTCCACTCACGGATGGTATCTTGGGGATCTTGGACACCTTTTTGGTTTAGTTACATCCCATGATCATTGCAGTTTGGAGGGAAATGGGGTTCATATATGATGTGTATTGCACACAGCCACTAATGAGTCTAAGTGTTGAATAATTAGATAATTGGTGTCTTACATTTTTTTCTATTATGCCATAACCCTTGGCAGGTTGCTCTCAGGATTTAAGAGTGTCTTAATATATCTGGGCAAGTTGGCTGGGGTTTTGGAAGAGGCGAGGGTACATTGTTTTTCTTGTTGAAAATAGTGCTTGTGGGCTGGGGTTGTGGCTCAGCGGTAGAACACTCGCCTTGCATGTGTGAGACCCTGAGTTCGATCCTCAGCACCACATAAAAATAAATAAACAAAATAAAGATATTGTGCCCATGTATAATTAAAATAAATAAATAAAATAGTGCTTGGAGCTGGGCACAGTGTATACCTGTAGTCCCAGCGGCTTGGGAGGCTGAGAGGAGAATCGCTTGTTCAAAGCCAGCCTCAGCAGCTTAGTGAGACCCTGGCTCAAAATAAAAGGTAAGAGTCAGGCACAATGGCACATGCCTGTAATTCCAGTAGCGGCTTAAGAGGCTGAGGCAGGAGGATGGTGAGTTCAAAGCCACCCTCAGCAATTTAGCTAGATGCTAAGCAACTTAGTGAGACCCTATCTTTAAACAGAATACAAAAAAGAGCTGGGGATGTGGCTCAGTGGTGGAGTGCTCCTGAGTTCAATCCCTGGGACCAAACAAATAAAAAAAGATAAAAAGGGGGCTGGGGATGTGGCTCAAGCGGTAGCACGCTCGCCTGGCATGCGTGCGGCCCAGGTTTGATCCTCAGCACCACATACAAACAAAGATGTTGTGTCTGCCAAAAACTAAATAATAAATATTAAAAAAATTCTCCTCTCTCTCTCTCTCTCTCTCTCTCTCTCTCTCTCTCTCTCTCTCTCTCTTTAAAAAATAAAAAAAAAAAAAAGATAAAAAGGGCTGGGGATGTGGTTCAGTGGTTAAGTGCCTCTGGGTTCATTCCCTTGTACCAAAAAATAAATAAACAGTGCTTGGGGACAATCAGGTGAGGAAGGTGCCTTCACTGCTATAAAATCTGCAAATTCTGAACTTGGGGGATTTGATCAGTAGGACAAAGAATCTTGCAGCAAAATTTCCCTAGAATCCGTTCAACCATCAGTGGCCACATGGTCTGAGGGGCTCACTAAGTTGCTGAGGCTGGCCTTGAACTCTCAATCCTCCTGTCTCAGCCTCCTGAGCCACTGGGATTACAGGTGTGTGCCACCGTGCTCAGCTGTTATAGAGCTTTAATCTTCTAGCTAATTCTGGAAGCATTTAGAGACGTGCCTTCACCCTGTGCCACAAGGAGCCACGCCTTTGCCCTGGTCTCAGTAATGGCTGATGCTCGCGTGGAGCTTCCTGTAGCGGAGGCTGAGAGCCACCTTAGCCGGGTCGGCAGATTGACTCCACCAGAGGATGGTTCTGCCCAGAAAGCCAGCAGCAGAGGCCCTGGATCTTTCCTTTAGCAGATTTATTCCTTTATCAGAGCCTGCCCAGGTCCCGCCAATGCCCAGTGAACAGCAGTTAGCCGGCCTGACCCGTTGGCTGGCTCTCCTTGAAAACTCATGTGCATGCTGAGCTGCACACCCCCCTTCAGTCTGGACCCTGACAAATGCAGAAATGTCAAGTTTTTATTTTCAAATTACTGGATGGATTATAAGCACCTCAGTATTCCTTACTGAGTATGTGATAAAAATATTTATTTATATTAAATATATATAAATATATAATTTATTTTATATTATATATGAACATGTAATATAAAATAAATTATATATTTATATATATTATATATATATATATATTTTAAGTACCAGAGATTGAACTCGGGGGTGCTTAACCACTGAGCTACATCCCTAGTCCTTTTTATATTTTATTTTGAGACAGGTCTCCCTTGGTTGCTCATTTGCTGAGGCTGGCTTCAAACCTGCAATCCTGCCTCAGCTTCCCATTCGCTGGGATTACAGATGTGTGCCATCATACCTGGCTCGCCAACCTTGCTGTGGATAGGATCTTAAGACTCCTCCAGACCTGGCCTCTAACTTTTGTTAATAATTATAGTTAGGGGCTGGGGCTGGGGTTGGGGCTCAGTGGTAGAGCACTTGCCTCACAGGTGTGAGGCCCTGGGTTTGATCCTCAGTACCACATAAAAATAAATAAATAAATGAATAAAGATATTGTGTCCATCTACAACTAAAAAAATAATAATAATTATAGTTAACTTTATAGATTACTCTTACTAAGAGCATTCTGCCTGTAGGCTTATTTCTCTAAACACGGCTCTGATATGGTTCCAAGTATTTCGGTCCCCTACTGTCTTTTGCAGTGCCAGGGATGGAGCACAGGCCTCAGCACAGGCCACAGCAGCAGGTGCAGAACTGAAATTAGACTTCTTCAGCCTGGCTCAAATGTATCCACAGTTAAAACACCACCACCCTGCTTCTCCATGGTAATTATAAATAACAGTATCATCTGCCCTTCATAGAGTAAGCTCTGTGTGCCCCAGTCTATACCAGAAGCTTCCAATGCAGGGTCCCTTGAATGATCTCAACCCTGGAGTAGCCTCATGGTTGTTCCCATTTTGCAGACATGGAAACCAAGGCTTGCTGAAATTAAGGTGCTTTTCCAAGGTCTTAGCAAAGAAGAAAGAACCAGGCCTGAGACCGCCCAGCCGGGGTTCCTGCCCGCCCCCCATGCCCTCCTGGATTCTTCTTTCACCCTCTACTTGGGAGTTAGACTATTCCAGTGCTAGGGCCAGAAAATTTTCAATCAATGATTTTTGAAAAAGTTTTGAAACCAATGCACTGTCTTGCAATGAAATCAGCCTGAGTCTGGGTGAAAGACAGTAGTGTTAGCCGCCGGGGCCTCAGGGGTTTTCTCTGTGCTTAGCAAAGAAGAGCAGGATACAAGATGGCCAGGGCGCAGCCGCTTGTTGAAACAGTAACAAGTGTGGCCGCTCCTTTCCCGGGCTTTGCCTTTCTGTCCCATCTCTGGCCTTCTTGGTTCTCTCGGTGGCACCCGCTGGGTCCCGGAGACCAGCTCGCCTTTCCATTGGACCCCGGCTCATGGCCCCCAGCGCTTTGGCCTTACTGGGGGCCCCTCTGCGCCCACTCTGCCTGGACCTGCCCCCGCCGCCGTCCCCTGCCACTGCTCCCCACTACAGTTCTAAATCTCTGAAATAGTGACTCTGACCGAAAGGGCGTGGCAGGGCTCCCTCTGCCACTTCCTCCAGAGACTGGGACCCCTCCCAGGTGGCCCTGCACCTTGCAGCCGCTGAACTCCAGGCAAGGCAGCACACCAAGGGGACGGCTGCAGCCATCACAGAGCTTGGGGACCCTTGGTCCCTGGGGTTGGCGCTGGCCTGGTATTGGTGGACCCTGGGAGTGCCMAGAGGTGCAGGTACCA